TTACAAGGATGTGTGGTCAGAAGTGGGAAGGCTGATACTCATTTAGCCAATCACTATGCAAGTCAACGGTATAATGTAAACTTCGAAGTCAATTTATTGAATTCCGACTTCTATAGCATATACGTGCCATACAAATTGTTCGCTTAAAATTAAGTTCTTCTATATTTCAAGTTATCTTATCCGATTATTCAGATCGGGCCGCTATAGCGTATGCTTGTCATGCAAACTGTCTAATCAAAATGAGGGCTTTTACTTCTTTTGTTGTGTTTTCTTTTTTTTTTCGACAATATTGACTCTTGTGGATGCTTACATCCCTCTTTACAGTATTTTTAATTAATTTTTTTTTTTAATTTAGCAAGACTTTTTAAAGAAATTTTAAACTTCTTTAAAAAGTTGGATTAACACCTATTTCTCTAAGGTCATAGAAGCATTTTCCAGACTGAAAGTAATCGCCCTGCCTCAGTAAAGCACTTTATTTTACTAAAACGGCGAACAAACATTTAAACTCAGAAATAGTTTAAAAATCAATGAACCCATAAAACGAATATCAGCTTCAGCAAACATATGCACAACGTGTTAGGAGAACCAAAACAATAAAAGTAAAAGAAAAGATCGAAGCAAAAATTAAATTAAATGCGATATACAAGCTTTTGTGGCATTCAGCGCTCACTCACGTGGCAAAACAACGTGTTTCTGCTGCTATGGCATACAAATTTTCCATGTCTATAGTCGAAGACAGACAGTATTAGTATTGCAAACAAACACCCCCAACTCCCGGTTAGACATGCGTACAAAAAACATACAGACGCACACTGTACCGTACTTATTGACACAAAGCAATGGCTTGTAAATAAAACAAATACCCAACAAATCGAAAAAAAAAAACATAAATCAATTTTACACATTTGTATCTATCAATTTGACTGCCTTGAGTAGGTCGCTGGACTATATACCATATATATTTGATACCATATACCACATATATTTGATACGTATAGTCTTATATATGTAGGTAGACATGCGAAAAACAAAATGGGACAGACTGTGAGCTCACGTGTGACGGCATACACCTGAGGGCTTCGTACTTTTTGACTTCGCCTTTTGCGGGCATGCCCGATTTTAGTTGTTAGGTGATGCACGAACGGATGCCACTTAAATAGATATACGCTTTGGGAGGTGTACGTAAATCCGTGCGCGTTTGGCGGTTTCCTGGTAACGGTAAAAGCAATAAAAACAACGAAAGCAAAGGAAGGCATAAGGAAATCGAAAACCATTGAGTTTCCCCGAAATGATGGCAATAAATCCGTTTGCTATGATATACTTAAATGAATGCTCTTACTTATACACACGTATATATATATATATACCATTTACATATATGTATGTATTTACTCATGCGATTTAAGTGTTATGAGAAATTCAAATATCATAAAATCAAATCATAAAATTTCGCTGCTTGTTATTTGCTCGTACTCCCAATATGGTGCTGAATGTGAGTAAGGTTTCTTAAACCTAAGCATCAAAATTACGAAATATTTTTAATAAGAAAAAGTTATCAAAAAAAATTGTATTTCAAATTTTTATTAATAAAAAAAATTCATCAAAAAAATATTATTCATTTTAACAATAGAAAGTATCATAATCATAAGGTTTCTGTTATTTTGCGATTTTTAGTAGTTAAAATTTAGAATTGGCTGCCATTATGATAGTTAATCATTTATTTACTTTATGCTTAGCAATTAAATAATTAAATATAGTTTGTCGAAATTGAGCATGTGAATTTGTTTGAGAAATGCGAAATTTACAATTTTATTGCTGAAAAAAATTTTTAGTATTGAAATGCATTTTTTGGTTAAAAAATTATGTATATTAATAAATTTATAAATTTTTACGAAATTATTATACAAAATTGTTGTCACTAAAAATTATTAAGGGGTTATTTTCACTTTTTAATTTTAAAATAAATATAATTTTTTTTATTTTGCATAAATATGACGAATGTCTAAGAAAGATAAAAAATATCAGAGAAACTGTTCCGAAAATTTTAAGTTCACGCAGCATATGGTTTCGTAGATATGAGCGTATTTGTAATTTTAACTTAGTGTACTCAGCTTCCAAAGAGTGTGTACAGGAAGTACAATTTCACCAAAATGGCTGTATCGGGTATCTTGAATTTTCTCAAAACCTTTTGAGATCTATTTTTCAGATTAAAGAAATAAGACTTTTGATATAATTATGGTTTTTAAGCGCCTGTGAAGGGCAAATTCTTTCACAAAAATCGACTTTTAGTGGAAAGTGAAATCAAAATTTTGTCTTGTCCTGCGAACAGCTTTGAATGGCTGTCAGCAAAAAGCATAGCGAGCACCGGAAGTATCATTGAGACCACTAAACTGTTTCAGCACAAAGACTAAACGAGATAGGAGCATTATTAAGGTCATAGAATATTTCATCAAAATAACTTATCCATCTGCTCTCACTGAGCCTGAAGCAGCAGCACTCCTTCCAAGATACCTATTTACGATCATTATCTGTATACATGTAGGTTAGATTATATATGTCTGATAGAATAATGTTCTACGGATAGAAATGTTTTGTAACTTAAGGAGAGCAGATGAAGTGCGCTACGTATTTCATGAGAAATAGTCATCATTTAGGATAACTGCGATTGACGCGAATTTCAACAGTTTCTGCGACCTCCCTAACGACACCTCTTCTAGTGCCTCATACTGGCGGCCACCAAATGCTTGAAATGTTGCCTTGCTAATACGGTAGAAGCATCCTCTTTGCTCATCGCATAGACAATGCATGAGCTTAATACTGTCAATCACGTTTTTGGATGACAGACATACAACACTCTTGCAAATGTCATGCACTATCTCATTACCCTCAGGCTTTATGACTAAGTTGCCAGTAGAAGTGAAAATACTGGTTCTTGACGAGACTCCCCACTGCTGTCCTGCTTCCCAAGACACTTGTGGCCGATATGATTTAATTGCAGTTTGGATGACAACAAAGATCTTACGGCTTTAGTTATAATCAGACATAATTTTAAGCAACGAAATCTACCTCATCACCTTTTTCGAAGGTGCTCAAACCTTTTTTTAAATTTCTTATATTTATCAATAACAGAAACTCAAAAAAACGCATCATTTCCGACTTGTTAGTGGATATTACCCCTTCATTTTTTCAACAAATTTTTTCTCATTAAATATTTTAGTATTATAATTTAATAAATACAATAAAAATAATAAAATTTTTTTAAACTCGTAACCCCATGTAAACCTTTAAATCATTAAAATTTGCCACTCATATATTTTTATAAAGTGTTGGTTGCTTCAAGCGCTTGATTGAAAAAAAAATTACTTATAAAGACTACATTTATTTTTTTTTTGTTTATATTTTTTTCTTTTTGTAGCTGAATAAAAACTTTTTTTAATTAATATATATTACTACAGTTAATTTTCGTATAGTTAAAATAGTAACATATATACATAACACCAAACAACTGATGGAAAAAGCGTTTTAACTTGTCTCTACTTAATTAGGAGTAGAAATGTTCTTAGCAGCTCCTTACCAAATTGTCTTTAATTATACAATTTTATGCGAGTGAGAACTTAGTATACCGTTTATGTGGCTATAGTTCAAAACATTTTCATTGTGCGTGTAAAAAAATCATCATGAGCACGCTCGTATCGCTCTTCTACGATTTTATAATACTATTATTATTTAATATTATTATTTTTGCAATCAATCATTTCCTTTCTAGATAGTTAATTGAATTTCAAGCAGGATTTTATATATAAGTGTATTTATTGTATGCTTTGTAGAAAAGTTATGAGTAGATAATCCAAATGAACATGAAAACCAAAGTGCTAAGGTTATATAATATTTATGTATTTAACTAGTTTTCAACGTGAGCAAAAAGTGAAAGCAGAGTAATATCTATTGCGAAAAGCGCTGCTAATTATTGCTAAATAATTGTGTGAGTTTGCAACCCTTCTTTCCATTACTATATATTTTTTTTGTTAATAGCGTTGAATTGCAATACCAAATGCGTGCAGCGTGCGCTGAAGCTTACTTCATACACATTTATTTCACGATACGATATTAATAAGTGCTCGAACTGAGCGCTTTACAGCAATAATTTACTTTATATAAATCCACACGCTGACACTTGTACATAAATAAATAACTATATTACCATTCACAATCACAGTATGAAGTCCTTTTGGCAAAATAAGTACACACTTTGCTTTCATCGAATTCAATAGTATGCCATCATTCATAGTAATGCCAATAGTAGTAGTGCAATCGTGCATTCGTTTTGCGTCCATTCACCACCCACCGTCTCCCACTTGATGAAACGCTATCAAAAGTTGCAACTGTTTCACATAACGTACTCGCCCAAAGTTACACCTTACACGCCACGCCACATTCCATGTCACGTCCAGCTACTAGCCGCTAACCTAGTATGTATGTTGTTCACCCGTCCACCTATCATTCACCCGTTCGTTCGCGCTTTCGGTACAGCAACAGCCGGCCACTCGTTTTATATGCAACGACTAGTATTTGTAACTGAGTTTTTTTTTTTTGTATATTTCTTACCAGCCTCAGCGCAAAGTAAAATGTCAAAATGCTTTTATTGTTGTTGTTAAAGAGTTTACAGCCATTTGTCACTTAAAACACATTTTTTAAAAACAATTTTCTTTCTCTTTCTTTTTTCGGTTGTTTTACGCCAATGATATGAATAAAATAATAACCACAACAACTCACAACACTGAAAATGTAAAAACACAAAAATACAAAATTTGGTAAAAATAAATTTAACTGCTTATATATTATAAAAACGCTCAACAAAAAAAAAATAAAAAATAAAAAATTATAAATTAAAACAAAAAAATAAAAAAATTATAAAAAAAAAATATTTAAAAATTATAAAAAAAAAATCAAATAAAATAAAATAAAAAATATATAAAAAACTACTCTACTTATCAACAAAGGACATTACAAGCAATCTACCGCCGGTGCAATCCGCCGACGAGCTCATTATCAACAACAACTGCCGGCAGCAGGAGCAACTGCAACAGCAAAAGCAGCCGTTATTGCTGCAAACTCATACAGAGCCTCCAACGCAGCTCTTGCTTACTGAACAAAAACAACAGCGGGAACAAGCGTGCAAATCCACATATTCTATTTCCAACACCTCCACCACTACCAACAACCCCAACACCACTAGCACCACCACCAACACTCCCACCTCACCCCCACCAGCAATTAACCCAACGAAGTCCATTAACACACTCATATCCGGTGGCAGCAACCCCTTTACCCATACACCAGCGCCACTACCACTACGACAGCAAAACCAAAAAGTTATCACAAGATCACAATCATCTAAAGTTATACAAGAGTTGCAGCAATTGCACCATAATAACAACAACTATCAACAACAACAGCCGCATACGCATTCGATCCACCAACTAAAGCAACAGCAATCACTGCCGGCCACGCTACATCCGCCGCAAACGGTTAACGGCAGTCATCATCCGCCACCTTCCAAGTCCGTCTCGATACTCGTGTATAAAACATTGAATACGGTCTTCAAGAGCAGTCGCAAGATCATTGTGCGCGTTTGTGAGGTTGCCAGCGCGAAAAAGTCATTCACAATGTTCAAATTCAATAAAGCGGCTGCGCAAAATCGGGCTGAAAATCGGGCGAACGCCTGCACCGGACACGATCAGTTCGTGCGGCCACCAGTGCCCGAGAAGTGAGTGAAATATTGAGTTTTATGACATTTTTTTTAGTGTAAAAACGACTATAGTGGGAAGTTTTGATATTAGTCTTACATTATTAGAGTTGGAAATCAAAGAATCTTTTAGTGCTCTTTCCCCTGAACTTAAGGAATTGAACGGTCGTGAAAATTTTAGATTCTAAAACATTTTCCATCCATATACATAAAAGGAATTGAAGACTCAAGGACGACAGAGCCAGATTTGACGATCTCTAATTTGTTGAATATAGCGCGCCAGTCATTTCTTTTTTTCGCAATTAGTCGGCAATTTGAGATACCAAATGCAGCCAAGTCCTTCTCCACCTGACCAACGGAGTCAAGGTCTTCCTCTGCCTTCCCGGCAGGTACCGCGTCAAATACTTTCAGACCTGGAGTATTTTCATCCATACCGACGATATGACCTAGCCAACTGGAACTTTGCTTTACATCCCTGAACAACGAATTACATAGAAAATACTGAATCTAAGCACAATCAACTGATATCGAATTCATTAGTTTGAGATTTTCTTTGTTGGACAGTGTAAGGTTCACCGAATTAGCAAGTTTTTTTTCCTAAAAAGAAGAATATCTCTGTTAAAATAGTTTAGATTTTGAGGAGAAGAACTTTAGAGCTACGAGTAAACTAATAAGAGCGTTAGTGATTATCTCAATTGAAGGAAAACAATCCTCTTCCTCCTCCCAAAAAAAAAAAAAAACTTCCCACAAACGTCGTTTAAATAATAACAAAATATCAAAAATTAATTAACCAAACTAATGCTGAATTCAAATTTTAAATTATCCACAAAAACAACCTCAAACCGCATGCAATTAAACACAACAAATGAAAATCAAAAAATGCCACGCCAAATCTTGAAACTAAAACGCAGGAAAGTTAAACACATAATGAAGAAATTACACAAACAAAATGGACTGAAACGCTCCAATTCAGCGATCGAATTCGACGTATCCGCGCTTACTGCCGCCAATCGCCGGCACATCTACAGCAGGTAAGTCCTTTATAGCTGACTGAAATGAACGAAATATTATCTGCCCATAAACGGTTTTGATTTTTGTATTAACTTGTTTATTTCAACTTCACACCACTTGTATTCATTTGATTTTTGTATAATAATAATCAAAACAAATCAAATAAAAATCACTTAGTTCACCACTTATTAGTTTGTGCCAATCACACTTTTTTATCAAATATCCATAAATTACCAAGCATATTTTTTGAAATACCACAATTCGAACGTGTTCAGTTTTTGAATTGATCTTCTAATTTGTGTGTGTATTTTCTTTATTCTGTTCTTTGTTTCTTACGTTTTGTTTCATTCGATGCAAACAAAATTGTTCTCTTGCAGCAATCGATCAGCCAGTTCGGAACAAGATAATTCAGATCAATCCGAGCACTCGGAAAAATCACCATTGGTTAGCGCGAGGTTAGACAATCTAGCTAGGCTATTTTTTAGCAAATCGATGCCAGCGGAAACCGGAAGTAGAGATACCATAGATTCTGTGCTAACGACAAGGTTGCATTTTCTTTACTTATTACCTCAAAAAAATTCGAAATTTCAAAACAAGAAGCAACTTATTATTGGCTTAAGTTCTCTCTCTCCAATCTATCCTCTCTATCAGTATGCTAAGTAAATGTGTTGGATTTTATTGAAAGCGTACTATATAAAAAATATCAAAAACTGTATTGCTAAAAGTCTAAAATGAATTTAGTTAAGTTAAAAAATCTCTAATTATACATAAATATTTTTAACTTTTATTATACATTAAGTCTTCCTGCAGATGAAGAGATGGTTTTCCTAGTTACACACATAACTTCTTGTACATAAATATATATGATATAGTTAAACGAACTTCATAGAAAAACCATAAAAACACACTTTATAATAAAAAAAATTATATTTTTATTTTTTGTAAATTCATAACACTTTGCACTTATAAAAACCTAATTTGTAGTGGTGCACTTTATGGATGCATATAAATGTATATATTATGAATGTATATATTAATTTATGTATGCACATATGTATGTATTTATATAAACGGCACCAGCATGTTTTAAACTTAAGCTTTCAATGTGCTTTCACACAACGCTTCTTAAATACCTTTTTTTTAACTGACATCATTACCAGTTACCAACTGGTTAGTGCTTGTAAGATATGCTCAATATCTTCTTCTCATATGTTCAATATAGGTATAAGTATAAGGTGTGAATATTCTCATAAAAAATTAATTTTTTAAGGAGTACATTTAGCAATGAGAATTTATATTACAAAAAAAAATTATAGAAAATTGCGAAATCTAAAACGAAATTCGGTAAGTAATGGTATTTAGGCCGGTATTTATACCGGGAATAATCGACTTGCTATACCAAAAGTTTTCAAAAATACTTAAGTCGGTTATTTATATTTCACAATTATAACCACTAAATCATGTCAAACTGCCACATACAGAGAAAATAATGAAAATAATATAAATCAGGTTAGAACTATTTTTATATCACGAAAAGTGATATTAAGGGCTTACATGTCTTCCCTCGGATAAAAAAAAAATAGAATTTTTTCAACAACATTTTTTTCATATAAAGAATTGAATATTTGATTAGAAATTTTTATTGTTGCAAACATACGATATTAATAAGGAAATTCAAAATTTTTGGGAAAAAATATTTTAAACTCGGCCATTGTGTTGGCAGAATAACTCCTTTCAAGATCATCTAAAGTGAGAAATACGTGTTTTAGTTAAAACCTAAACTAGAAATTGGAGGAAGGAAAAAAACTGAAAATTTCGATTTTTGACAGACGTTTTTACAAAAAAATTAAAATTTCAGTGAAAATGTCGCGACATTTTTTTCAAATTGTTGAAATCGAAAAAAAATCCTTCGCAAAAGTCTTTAAGAGTTCTATTTCAAAGACCTATGTAAAAAAAAAAATATGTAAAATTCCATAAAGATCAGTTGAGTAGTTCTCGAGAAATCTTGGCAACCGATTTCAAAAACACAGTTTCGAGAAAGACGCATTTAAAGACGTCGCACTTAGCCTAGCTAACCTAGAGCGCACAAGTTCTCAAGGCTGTCTGAAACTATTACTCGGATCAACTTGAAAATTTGGAGATCCTAAAAAATGCATACATAAAACAAGTATGATCAGCGTGCAGAACTGAGTCGATTTAACCTATCTATAAATATGTCCGTCTATCCATCTGTCTGCGTATGCGCAAACTAGTGCCTTAGTTTTAGAGATCTCGATCTGAAAAATTTTACACGTCCTTTTCTCCCCACGACACTGCTTATTTGCCCATATAGCTGCCATACAAACTGAACAATTGGAATTAAGTGATTATATGAAAAACTTTTTCATTTGACGAGATATCTTCACGAAATTTGGAAATTTGACATGGGTTGTTGTCAAAGATAATATTGCAATCTTGTTGTTCAGATTAGATTACTATAGCAAATAGCTGCCATACAATTTGAACGATCGGATTCACATTTTTTTTAGGAAACTTTTGTATTTGTGAAGGGTAGGTATTTGCCTTCGGTTCAACCCAAATTGAAGTTTTTTGTTTTTTATTATTCTTTAATAGAAATCTTTAGACATTTGCAATCAAAGTGTTGTGACAAAATTGTAAAAAGTCTCAGGTACTTACTGAAATAACAAAAAATACTAAACAATAATGGCATGTCTCTTTGAACAGATATGTATGTGTATATAAAAAAAATATATAAAAAAATTGTCTTGAGTTATAAAAGCAGTCGAGGCTAAATTTTAATTTCTCTATTTTTCTTCGCCGAAACTTAAACCCAAAATTGAAAAGTGTACCCACAGCAGTCCTTTTAATTGTAATTAAGTTTGCAACCTTTGACTTAACTTTCGTAAATTCTTTAAAAGAAATTGTCTACTAATACATATATTATATAAAGGCGCATTCTCAAAGCATTATATGACATCAGCGCTTGACGAACAAAACGACAGTCACAGCCAGCTACAAAAACAAAAATTAAACTTTTTGATATTAATCTCTTTATAGTTATTTTATGTGTATTAGCATATTATTACATAGGTATATATATATGTACGTATATGTATATAAAATTAGCACAAGGTGTCTGAACATATGTATATGTATGTATATTCGTATCTAGAGATTTTAAAAGAACACTACACACACCTTGGCATTGTGGCACGGCACCGGGCAAGGCACACACACGGCACCGAAGAGAGCACACTAACACGTATAGCTAACTTTTATACACACATGTATATACTTATGTCAATTTTGAGCGAACAATGCGCATAACTTAGCATAGTGTAAGGAACGTATGAGTGTGTTATAATATGGAGCACGACATGGCATTCAAATTACATTTTATTATCTCATAATCGGATGAGTTTAGATCAGGCTTGATAATAGTAAAAGAATAGAAGAATAGCTACATAGCAAAATTCAAAGCAGACAATATAGAACATTGCAATGACATTCCACATTTTGCAGCATAGTGGCTTAGGTTGTAGTTGTAAGTTTTAGTTAAGTTTAAGGAAGTTTTAAATCTAATTTTTGAAATTTATGTCATCAGAGTTTGGTCTTAGGAAGTTGCAATTCGCTCAGTTTGCAGAAGGAAATCACTTCAAGGAGCTTGGAGTGTTAACTGCAATTTATGCCTGGAAAACACAAAACTTTTAAAGACTTCTCTCGGACATAAATTTATTTATAATAAAAATTTTATGAAAATAGTCATCAGCTGTCAAAAGACATACGGGAGTTAAAGGATACCAGCTAGAATAAAATTTACAATGAATATTTCAAAGTAGGTATATATGTATGTATATATGTAAATGGTCAACGTTTCAAGCTGAGTCATTTTAGCCGTGTCCCTCTGTCTTTCCGTTCGACCATCTGTCTGTCTTAAAGTTTTTGAGATATCGATCTGAAATTTTGCTGATCACTGAGATCGATATGGATATCGTATTCAAAGGTAAACAGCTATCTCTCCGACCTTTCTGTCTTTCTTTCTGAACGATAATTAACACTTTTCCCCACTAAATCCAATTAAAAAATGAACAAAGGAGTACAGACTGGCCATAATACTACAGTCGATGGCGTCAAGATCCGACTGTCAATAATCCTAAGATTTTAGGTGTGACTTTTCACAGTATGTGCTCCTTCACTTCTCATACGAACGCGATTATCGCCAAAGTACCGAGCCGAAACAAAATCTTCAAGTCGCTAGCTGCAGTACATGGAGAAGGAGGCAAAGAAACGTTGTTGACCGATCCACAACTACGCCTCACCAATATGGTCGCCTGGATGCAGTAAAACGTAGACGAGGAACTTTCAGACTTGTCCGAATACTGCATTCTGGACTAGGACAGGCAGTTCCTGGCGGAATGCTTCCGCAGAAATCAAGAGGTCATTCCTCAACCTTATCGACGACATCAGACAATACGTCGACCAGGCTTCGGACGCAACGAACTTCCGACAAGCACTGACCGACATGCACAGTAGAGCCAATAACACCTTCAAGGAGTCAAACCGAGACCAAGAGCTCGATGTGCCACGAGTGTTGTGGCTATTGTAGCAGGTTAAACTCCTGATTATCCAGCTTAGACCGCGACATATCTAATATATGTCCTGCATGGAATGAGTCTCCGCATAACACTGGCCACCTCTTTGCGTGCAGCACCGACCCCATTCAACTGACACCTCTCTCTTCCTTTGGTCCGACGCCGTCAAAACAGTACATTTCTTGGACCTTCCGTTAGATGACGGGGGCTAGGTACCTGTAAAGTAACAACAACTACTAAAAGATATAGATGATCTAGAAACTGATCGACTAAACTCAAGCTCTTGTATGCAAAACTTTTTTAGTTGACAAGCTACTTTCACGAACCAAGGCAGCGCTATAATTTCCGAAGATAGTGTTAAGATCGGAGCACTATTGCATATAGCTGACATACAAATTAAAGTTTTTTGATGAATTAAATATCTTACAAAACTTTTAGCTCTCTTAATAAATTTTTTTCTATAATCTTTGTTGCAGATTTCTCCACTCACAATTATATAATTGCCACTGTCATTTCCGTTATTTCACAGACCCAAGCAACATTTTAAATGCCCACTGCAGTCAAGAGCACATACACATATACAAATACTGAAACGTTATAACATACATATATAATACAAAGATAACTGCGCGTTAGCGAATTCAGTAAAAAATGTATGAATCTTTGTACGCAACTGAATGCGTAGCCAAAAATTGGCATTTTACTGGGCATAACGGTTATTTTCGCTTCCTTAAACATGTATTTGTGTATGTGTGAGTGTATGCAGTTGTGTGTACATTTTTCTCAAGTGCACATTTCTTCAGCCAGCAAGTTCAAGGCTGTTTTTCATTCATATGAATAATTTAAAGTTATTCACTATTCATGCTCGGAAAGAAAATGCGCCTATCGCGATTCCTGCTTGGCTGATTCTATGCGACTTGCTTTTTATTCCGATATTGTTCGCAGTTAATGTGGCGCTGCCAAAGGCGCTTTTGGTTGATTTGCCAACACAATCGCACATTGCATGTAAACACAAACATATATATATTTTTTATTCTTATATATATATATATATATATATATATATATACAACCGACTGCATTTAAAGAGTGTTTAAAAATACGCACCACTCGCCTTCGCAATGTGTTTGTGATTCGCAAAGGCGCCAAGGATTTTCGCACATAACAAGTGACTCGAGTAGTGTATTAAGCTGCCAGTAAATATTGTTGACCGACCTCCTCACTGTTTTTATACCCCGTATACCCTGAACATGGTATATTTAGTTCGCCACAAAGTTTGTAACACACAGTATAAAATGTCGGAGATATTATATTATTAAATGTACATGTCACAAGGAAAATTTTTTCATTTGACGATATATCTTCAATTCGGCACGAATGATTATCTAAGATAATAATGCAATCTTCGAAAGAATTGTTCAGATCGTCTCACTATAGCATATAGCTGCCGTACAAGCTGAACAACTTGAATAAAGTGCTTTTATGGAAAACTTTTTCATTTGACGAGATATCTTCAAGAAATTTGTAATGGGTTCTTCTCTAAGATATCACAATCTTCTAAGAAATCGTTCAGATCGGATGACTATAGCATATAGCTGTCATACAAATTGTAGGATTGGTTCCTGTAAGGAACCTTCTGTATATGTGAAGGGAATTACGATGTTAATTTTTACTTTGTTTGTTATTAAGTTACCTCAATTCGAATTGAAGGTTGTCTATATCGAAAACCGTTGATAGACAGAACCAGTAAAACGTGTATCATTGGTAGAAATCATTAACCCGTTAGTTTTTCAGATTTAGTTAGGTGTATGTATAGACGACTATAACCACCTAAGCGGTGTATATGCCAATAAGAAGAAGAATATGTATAGTCGCATATAAATAAGTTAACTTTCTGCCTTGTTAAACTTTTATTCATTTCTTTAACAAACCGAAAATCTTATGCAGACAAATTTCAATCATAAAAATAGAGATCAAAGGTTATTTTTCTACTGCTTCTTCTATTTTGTTTAACACTAACACCTAAGACACAACAAAGGCAAATAAAAAGATATGCTCTTGTTATTTAGTTGAAATAATAACAAGCTATGGCTTTCTAAGTTTTGAAAACTATATTTTAAATTTTTTTACTACTCAGGTTGTAGTATTTTGAAAGTCATAAAAATATCACTTTTTTTTAAATAAATACATTTACTTCAAACTATGTAGTTAAATAATTCTCATTTTAATGGCTTTTGATGTCGCTCGCTTTTTCCACCTGTCAATTTTTTAAAGCTCTTTTTATATTTACATTTACCAAGATTTTGCACAGATAAAAAAGAATTTTGTACAATAAATATTCACTCTATACAGACTCTTCACTTTATAAGACACAAAATCAACACACAAATACTTTCTACAAAATCTTCACATGTTTTCTATTTTCTCTAATGAAACTGCTTTGCCTAAAAACATATGTGTTTTGCTGCTCTATGTTTTCTTAATAATATTATATGTTTCAACGTCATAAAAAAATTAAAATGTTTACGCATAATTAAAATAAGAATGAATATAAAATTTTTCATAACAACTTTTCTATTAAAAACAAAGCAAATTTCGAAAATTTCTTAAAAATAGTACACAGAACTACATATCATTTAGCTTAGTATCACTTATGAGTATGTGAATGTCAGCGCAGAGAAGATTTGCAGGCATTTCCAATTTTAATAAGATAATCGAACAACTAACGAGACTTTGCCGGCGCATTTTGTGATTATCCACCGTGAATGGTTGATATTTTTCCTCTTCCGTTTCCGCTGTGCCATACCGTCGCTTTGTGCCATCATTTGTCAACGGTTGTGCTACGCTGTACTGTGCTGCCACTGCCACTTATACGCGGTAAACCGGTTGTCCGACGTATGTGACCGGTGACAGCACATTGCATGGCATATGCTTGTATGCCTATGTATGTATGTATAAAAAATACACGGACGACGAAATACGTATGTGTGTAACGGTGTTTTTCAAATTGCGCTATCAAATAACAGTAAACATACATATGTATACTATGCCTGTATGTTGGTGACTACTGTTAATTTCTATTATGTGGAGAAAGTTTGTAGGTTCGTACGAGTATGTGACCCGAAAAAATTGTGCGGTTATGGAACATGAGTTTTTAAATATATGAATTTATCGAAAAATATCGATTTTAATTACATTGAGTATCTTTTCAAACTGCATTAAAAGTTACATAACGGAACATCCATTATTACCTACAAAACTGTAATGAATTTGGAATATTTTAACAGACAAAAAATTAAGTTTCAAAAAGAATTGAAAATGACATACCGAAACACCAATTATTACCTACAAATTTAAAATGAATTTGGAACTTCTTTCTAAAATTAGTTCCTTTATGTTCAAAAGCCCTTAAATTATTTTTATTTTTTAAAAAAGTTAAATTATTTTAAAATAATTAAATAGGGTAAAAAAATTTTCAAAACTTTAACTGTAAGAAAAATATTTGAAAAAAAATTAATTATTAAAAAAATATTAAAAACAATTTATTTAAAAAAATTAAAATATTATTTCAAAAAGTTTTAAAAATGTTCAAAACCTAGAAACTAAAAAATTATCAGCCACTCTTAATAAAAATCTAATTATTATCTTTATTCTCAGCAGAAAAGCTAAGCAACTCGCCTTAATAATAACTTAACTCAGTTCTAAGCAACGCAACCCACATAAACTTCTTCTTCATAATTAGAAACGTTAGTCAGCAACAATTGCCATTTACAGCAAAGACATTTTTTTTACAAAACATTATTAAATTAAGTTTTTCTTAGATTTAGTAAATAATTATATTTTATAAAAAATAATAATAATAATAATTAGAAACCAAAAAAAATTCAAAAATTTTATTATTATGTGCAATATGTTATTGAAATTAGTTAACGAAATTATATAGCTAAAATTTCTATATTTTGAAAAACACGCCCCCCAACAACCCTCCCTCAAAATCAATTAAATGTAGCGTTATTTAAGTGTTTATATATATTATTTTGTCCATCGTCGCCAACCCAACCCTCCTTTTGATCCCACCACCGGCTTTATAGTAGACACCCGTACCTATTTAAGCCAGAGTTTGCCGCATTTTCGAAAATTTTATTCAATTTTCAGGCCAAATTTGAAATATCAATACTCGGCGCTGGATAGCGGCAATGGCATTGTGGAGCGCAGTCCACGTGAGCGTGCACAACGCGAGCGCGCACTTAACGCATTGCAGGAGTGGGTGCAGAACTCGAATGGTCGTTACGAGATAATCGCACATTTGGATGAAATTGGCTCGCGTCATGGCAAGAATTGGTTTCTCGTGACCGATGCGACGGTAAGTAGCTTCTAACAACAGTACATACGCACATGAATTGTTTTATATAACACATACATATATATAACGCTTTACACACTAACTGCCGTTATTGACAGGTACGCACGGATCGTCTACTGACACTATTGCCACTCCCACCGGACTGTGTCGCCTTCGAGGATTTGCCCGCCAATGAGAATCCGAAACCCATGCTAATGGAATTGCTCGGCTCACTGCATCACCCTTACATATATCCGATATTGGATTTGGGTTTTCTACAGCTTGGCTCAAGTAATTTTGCCTGTCTGGTGACGCCATTCAATTCACGTGGTAGCTTAAAGGATTTAATTTATAGGGTAAACCAAACGCATATTTCTTTCGATATACACAGGTGTTGCCCTATATGTCGACACATATGTAAATGTGCATAAGGGAGAGTCAAAAAACACGAAAAATAGATTCTTAGACACCTCTACGAAAAGCTCTCCAAGTATGAGCTCTTACTCTACTTTCTCATAGAATCAGAAACAGAAATTTACATCTCTCTCTTCCCACCTACTATCTTAGTGGTGTCTATGAAGCAATTTTTCATCGTACCTGACCCACCCTAATGAGTATAGCACACGCATATGTGTTCGCATGTACATATGTTGTAATGGCATTGGCCTCAAGTGTACCTCGTTTATTTTAGTCCGCTTTGCAGCAATTACTTTATTGCGCCACTATTTCATATACAGTTTACTTTAGCATTTTCATTTTCATTTATTTTTATATGTTTTCTTTTAAATCCGCTTTAATTGCATGCTGCCGCTCTAGGCGCAATGGAACGAGCCGTGGGCACGCAAATATACACGCAAACCCAACGGTTTGCCCGTCTCACAAGTTCAGCGGCTGGGTCGACAAATCTTGGAGGCGTTGCTGTTTCTGAAAGAGCGCGGCTTCCCACTGCACGGACATTTGCATAGCGGAAATGTGATTCTACAAAATGGCGCCGCCAGGTGGGTACACTTCACAAACTGAATTAATTGCTCTCATATGGGCGCTTTCACATATGTCGCGTGCATAAATTATAGGTTAAAAGGCAGAATGGTTAAAAATAAAGCAGTCTTCAATAAATAAGCATTTAAAGAAAAATGCGCAAAAGTAGTGAGCTCAACTGCATATTTTTAAACATTCCGTATAAAAATCAATTTTTAATATAGATTTAGTTTTTAAGGACAAATATTTCACAAAAAAAAGTCAGAGCTCAAAGCAAAGAGAAATAGGTGATTACAACACATTTTCTCTTATCTCTCTATCTACTTACCATCATATCTCTAAACCTGCCTTTGATCAGATATTCGCTAGAATGTTTTTCAAATCACACAAAATCTATAAAGTAAATACATACATATATGATATGTTTGTATTATGAATCCGTATTTCGACATTCACCATGTCTGAATGCAGAACTGTGCTTCAAATTCTGTTGCTGACGATCGCCCTGTCAACCAAATATTAGAGCACTTCAACTTGCTGAGTGTGTTACAAAAGTAGGTTAAGCCACTTCAACTAACAAACAAAGACACAATTAGATGCAAAATGCAAATTCTAAGTACAAGTATGAATATGCAATTGCATTAAAGTTTCACCGTTTTCACAACAGTTTTTTGAACAAATGAAATTAATTAAGTTAGACAGAGTTGGGTGGAATGTAGCGACTATGCGTCTATTTTGAATTTAATGCACGCTCAAATTATATAAATTAAAGCGTATTCTAATCCATAAATTAAAAAAAAAAAAAAAAAAAAATTTTATACACTGCGACAAAAAAGCAATTGGAAACTGTAATTACATTCCTCGGGTTGACGATATTTAAAAAAAAAATTTATATTTTGCTAAGTTGGTAGGACTGTCCTTAATTACTATGCCAAATATGAGCGCAATCTGTCAACCTGTTTGTTTACAGCAGCTGCTTAAGTCGGTATGCTCCAGTACTGCGTTGCGATTCACCTGATAAAAAAATTTAAAATAGTGAATATGGTGTTTGAAAATCATCTCGCAAGCCCGTTCGAAGGATTTTAGTGGATATTTTGGGTAAGAAACTCGTTCTTGCTCGACTCGTCCCGATAAAGCTGAATTTTTTGCAAAAAGAGTCTCTTAAACAGGTCTCTTTGGGCAAGCTTGATAGTGGGAATTCTGATCACACTTTCATGGACAGCGTTATAACTACCGATGAGACATGGGTTTATGAGTTTGACATGCAAAATATTCAAAAACCATCGGAATGGAGAAAAAAAAAACAAGCGGAAACTCAAAAAACCACACCGCTCAAAAATCAACGTGATGGTCATCGTTCTTTTCGATATTCGTGGTTTGGTGCATCATGAATTTGTCCCGTATTAAAGCGATTTGGTGAGAACATCCGTCGAAAACGGCCCGTAGTTTTAGATCAACAATTCAAGGATTTTCTTCTTATTCTTCTTCTTGATTGGCGTAGTCACCGCTTACGCGATTATAGCCGAGTTAACARCCGCGCGCCAGTCATTTCTTTTTTCGCTACGTGACGCCAATTAGATACCACTTCACTTCACTTGGAATTCAAGGATTTTACACGAACATAATGATGTCTCCGTTGGGACACCTTCATAGTAATGCCTAAAAGCTACCGATCAAGAAACACAATGCACTTCTCTCCAAGCAGTTTTTTGCAGAAACAACCCTGCAGTCGTCTGCTTAAAACTGAGCCATTTCTTAGAAGCATCAAGGGGACCTTCCTCGATTATGTCGACGAAAGCGAACAATGCGCTGATAAGACTACGCAACAGGCGTACATACGCACTGAACGCCATGCATCGACTCTCACCCGTACTTGAAGTCAAACCGCCACCCATAGGAGATGAAAAGCTCCAGTTGCCACTAGACTTTAGAACTACATTTGCGTAACTTTGTTTTTGATGCTGTAAGAGGTTTAACTTTCATTTATCCCGAATCGACCCCGTCATACCAAATAAAATATATGACCAGCATATGACCAGTCCCCTCATGCCGCCAAACACCTCTTTGCATGTCCATGGAACCTGCTCATTTAAAACCCTCTCTCTCTTTGGTCCGACCCCATCGAAACGGCACGTCGATCAAACCTACTTGAATCTTACCATTCAAGTGCGGACGAGGTAACCCCAACAAGAACTCTGTCATCAAAAAATTGAGAGAGTTAAAAAAATTGTAAAAATGGACCTTAAATTTTGAGAAGACGTCATTTTATGAATTTTTTTTTTTTAATCTTGTTACTTCATACAAAAATGTAATAAGCAACAATTCTTCAATGCTCTCTTTATAAGATTTATAACAGAGACTGAACAGGGCGTATGAGCAACATTTTAAGCCTCGTTGTTTTACAATATTATACATGGTATTCAACAATTTAATATAACACAAAAATATGTTTTATATATTTAAAATATTCTATTCTTATGCTTTCTAAGACTGTCCGGCCTGGAGAACGGTCTGCTCGGACTTAGTTCGCGCATTAACGCTGTCATGTGGTCGCGCAGTACAACGGAAATCGAAAATGTCGATATCATTTGCTTCGGTCATTTGTTATATGAAATGTGTACCGGTCAGGAAATGACCACACCCAAACCGTCCATGCGGGTGCTCGAAATGGAATTAGAGCATTACCCACAAGTGAGTTTAAGACTTCTTTACTTTTATAAAATGTTGCAAAAATTCCAAAATTTGGATTTTTTATAATTGAAATACATTTTTAGTAAATTTTCTTAGTTTTATATTTAGGTTTTATAATATGGCCCCAAATTACTACTTTATCTCTGTTTGACATATTAAAAATATAATAATAAGTATAAAGTAGGGTGAACAGTGATTACTTAGTTCACTTTCCAGCAATCAATATCTCACGAACTGCTTTTTCAAGGAATTTTCGCAGCTTTTAGACGACTTTATTTTTCGTTAATGTTTTCTTTTACGTTTAACTTAGTAGAAAAGGGTGTCAGCGCTAATTAAAAAACACATTTACTAAGCTCTGTTATTAAAAAAAAAAAAAGAAAAAAAATTAAACTTAAAAAAAAATAATACCAGAAATACTTAAAAATTCTTGAACTTAGTAAACCCTCCCATTGTTATAATTTTTGTGTATATATTTTTTAAGCTTCTGAGTAATTTATTAAACTTTTCTCTATAACGAAAACAGATTTTAGATGTACTTGGCTTAATATTCGAACCGCCAAGCGGTGTATGCCCCTCCGTCGAAGACCTAGTCTTATGTGATCTCTTCAGAAGCATCGATTTGCGTGAATTACGTGGTCCCTGCTTTAGCGTAAGTATCACTGAAAAGCAAAAAGTTGTCATTGAAGACTTACAAATTTATGCATTCATTGTATTTAAAATAAATTTATATATGTGTGTGCTGTGTAGACAATCAAGCCGAGCCTAAGCAGATCCACACTCAATCTCTTGTATGCCGTTAAGAAGCGACAATGTGCATCGCTCGGTAGTTCACTTAGCGAAATGAGCTCACCGAGCACACCGCCATCAACGCCACGCGACGGTCGACGCGGGTAAGTGTTTATTTAAATAGACGTACAAACATACACACACACACACCGCTATATTTAAGCGCAAACATAAAAAATAGCCTAGATATCAAGCGCCAAATATCAATTTTCATCATTAAAATCTTAACAAAGAAAAGTAATATATAACAGTTTTATGTTGCATCTCACCCCTCAAAGCACCCATACAATGTTTTAGTGTCATATACACACTCAAACACACATCAATCGTCTGACTTTCATATCTTACGCATAACTATTCACTAGTTCTCTACTGCAAATTTTCCATATTTCTGTCACTTTCATTGTTATTTTTGTACTGAAGTTCCGCGTTATATTCACCATTCATCCATCACATCTATTCGTAAGAGTTCAATTGTATGCGTGTTGTCATCGTCACCATTGTTGTTAACAACAACGCCATTCTTTCCTCATCCTGATACATAATACATACATTTTCATCACATATTTATAGTAGTTTCTTTGTGTTTTGTCAGTGTAAATTTTTTATTTGGTGTTTGCTGATTACTCGCATAAACCTGTGCTGTGTCCCAGCTTACAAAGTGGAAAGAGCAACGGTTTTTGGCGCGTTCGCAGTGTAAATCGCCAGCGCGGTGCATTATCCCAGCTATACAACTACCCTACCGAGTAGCTCATTTAATTAGCAGATAAATGAAAAAGTTTATAGCGCCAACTCTGGCATAAAGCAAAATTACGCGCGCTCGACCGCTCTAATTTAGCATGTTTACGGAATATTGGTGGCAATTAAAACCGGTTTCTCCATTATCATTAAAAAATATGAAATTAGTGGTTTATAAAGGGTGTTAAATTTGGAGTTGTACTTTAATTAGACTGATAACGGTCAAATTRTGTATGAGAGATTAGTTTAGAGAAACCAATATTCTTCACGCTATTTTCGATATAAAGCCACTTATATGACTTAAGATTATTAAGGTTCATATCGGGTGATTTTTTTGAGGTTAGGATTTTCATGCATTAGTATTTGACAGATCACGTGGGATATCAGACATGGTGTCAAAGAGAAAGATGCTCAGTATGCTTTGACATTTCATCATGAATAGACTTACTAACGAGCAACGCTTGCAAATCATTGAATTTTATTACCAAAATCAGTGTTCGGTTCGAAATGTGTTTCGCGCTTTTTTATCGACAAATTTTGTTCAGCGATGAGGCTCATTTCTGGTTGAATGGCTACGTAAATAAGCAAAATTGCCGCATTTGGGGTGAAGAGCAACCAGAAGCCGTTCAAGAACTGCCCATGCATCCCGAAAAATGCACTGTTTGGTGTGGTTTATACGCTGGTGGAATCATTGGACCGTATTTTTTCAAAGATGCCGTTGGACGCAACGTTACGGTGAATGGCGATCGCTATCGTTCGATGCTAACAAACTTTTTGTTGCCAAAAATGGAAGAACTGAACTTGGTTGACATGTGGTTTCAACAAGATGGCGCTACATGCCACACAGCTCGCGATTCTATGGCCATTTTGAGGGAAAACTTCGGAGAACAATTCATCTCAAGAAATGGACCCGTAAGTTGGCCACCAAGATCATGCGATTTAACGCCTTTAGACTATTTTTTGTGGGGCTACGTCAAGTCTAAAGTCTACAGAAATAAGCCAGCAACTATTCCAGCTTTGGAAGACAACATTTCCGAAGAAATTCGGGCTATTCCGGCCGAAATGCTCGAAAAAGTTGCCCAAAATTGGACTTTCCGAATGGACCACCTAAGACGCAGCCGCGGTCAACATTTAAATGAAATTATCTTCAAAAAGTAAATGTCATAAACCAATCTAACGTTTCAAATAAAGAACCGATGAGATTTTGCAAATATTATGAGTTTTTTTTTTTAAAAAAGTTATCAAGCTCTTAAAAAATCACCCGATATAACCATTAGTGAACCTTGAAAGAACTCGATTATTTTCATATGTATACAAGGGTGGGTAAAAAACACGATTTTTTCGACACCTCTACGGAAATCTCGCTGAGTATGAGCTCTTAATTTTAACTGGAAGCTTCTCGATTTTACAATTTCCTAATTTATCTTTTTGTCAAATATCTCGTTTTCTACTACTTATTTTTTCAAATTGTTAATGAAACTTGGTACACATATTTCTCGGCACCATAAAACGGACGGTTTTGCTCATGAGCGTAATCGTACCAATAACACGCCCACAGAACCCCATTAAACGAAAACCAAAAAACACGTTTTTTTTTATTTTGAATTTTTTTTTGAATTTTTAAAATACTTTTATCAGAAAGCTTAAAGTTCTTTACATAAAATTGCAAAACTTCAAAATTTTTTGTACACAATTTTCGGGTCGTTAAAAAATAAAAGAAATAGTTATTTTTTTGTTTGATCGGAATGCGGCCCATATACATATAACATAAATAATATACATGCTTATATATATTTATATGAGCATCCTAAGGTATTTTACTGCCTGTCATTCCTGCAAGGTGCAAGAGTGTAAAATTTTCTGTTGCACCCGAACTTATTCCTTCCATACTTTTTTTATTTTTTTTTTTTTTTTTTTTTGGTTATCCAAGAAACCGCAAGACTGCTTTTTACGTAGGTCCTCCTAAAGGTCAGTTCCTAATAAAAGTTGTATACCTCCAAAAATACGCTTTATAAAGAATGTCAGAAATCGTGCCAGCTTTGAAGCCATCGTACCAAGTTGGGCAAATAAATAAAGAAGCACGATTCATTTGGTTTTAAACATAATTCCCGTGAACTCGAAACATTAAGTAAAATTACTACGACATGAAGCCACTAATTATATCTGACTCGCAATTATACTTGCAAAATTAATTTCTTTGAAACAACACTAAACTAAGCTGAGCGTCGGTTTTCGTGACCTCCTTTGCTTATGTCTGCATATAACTTTGCCACACTTTGCTTGCTGCCGGACACAACGTTAAAAATTTCCTTGATTTCCACTTTTTAAAATGTTTTGAAAAAAAAAATATCTGATAAATATTAATACGCTCCAACTAGCTGTAACATTGAGAATACGTGAGCATGTTTAATTGTTTTCTCTACTTTACTAAAATTAACTAAGATTTGTTCATATTAAATGTTTGTTATGTTTAGAAAATGAACTTTACTTAAAAACAACTAAAAAGCTTCAACACTTAGTGACTCAATAATTAATTTTCTATTACTTCTATTTACTAATTCAATAATTATAATCAACAATTTGTGTTTTGTGGGTGTTTTGCTGTAAAATTTTGTTTTTATTTACAAACAAAATTGTTATTTGATAATTTTTATTATTATATTTTGCCTATGTTCAAACATTGTAGCCACATTTTACAATTAATTCAGATAATTATATGTTACCAAAATATATACAGTGCTCCAACTGCGCCCTATGAAGTCTTTCGTATGTACTAACATTTTTAGAAATGCATACAATTAAGCTCAAAAATAAAAATACAACAATCTCTACCACTTGTACTACTACTACTACTACTACTACTACTTATGGATGCAATATATATTACTAAATTGCCTATTTTGCGGTTTTGTTTACCACAATCAAATTAAAAACTGGATACAGTACCTACTCGTACCTTCATAACAACAACAACTGACAAAACAACCCAACAGCCTATGTACCTCCACCTACCTACTACTAATTAAATCTTCTACTACTACTACTACATATAAATTTAATGTGCAAATATTAGTCGAAGTGGTAAGTGTGATTTATTTTATATATTATTAATATTTTATAGTAAAAAAATACAACACGCAATAAGAAAAGTAAACGTTATCACAAGAACACCAAAAACAAACAGTACCACACAAAACCAAAATTTTACTCGCAAAATTTTTATATGCAACATGCAATTGCAGCCAGTGTGTAAGAGAGTAGTAAAGTACAGTAAAATGTTACATCTACTATTTGAATCAATTTCATTTATGATACTTGTTGTTAATTTTACATAAAATGTTTAATTCTAATTTGTTGCTCAATTCGTTGATTTTGTTGAGTTTCTGTTTGCCGCTTTTTGTTTCGCTTTTGTATGTCATGTATTATATATATATACATATGTATAGTTGTAATGCATTAGTTACACTTTCCTTAATTCGAAACAGTGTTGCATGTTCGTGCTTGTATGGTTTTTTGTTGTACTTGGTTAATAAGAGAATAAATTTCCGTAAACAAAGTAAAACAACATTTTGTGCACTTTTAAGGTATATATGAATGTATGTCTGTGTATGCTTATTTTTATATTTACTTTTATTTGTAAATAATTTCCATGCAGCTATCTTTCCTATACAAAGCTTATACAGCTTTTTATTAACAAAAAAAAAATATAAACAGTAAAATATTTCAAATAAAAAAGTATACAACAACGACGTGATGTTAAAATTAAATTAGACGCCCAAATTTGGTCAAAATGTGTTCTGTTTTATTTTTTACTAAGCAAATAATTTTAGACATTTTTGATTTAAACACCGCTTGCATCCGGACCCATGAAGAATTTATGCTGAAGTTTCGGCGCTTAATGCTGCCTTTGAGCTCCTCGCGCTCCTTGAATTGTATGAGACGGCGCACCGTCTTGTTAGAAATAGAGATTTCATATAATTTCGGGCAATAAAATTCGGTCAACATCGTGTTATAACGCTCGCTATTGATAGTAAGGGTATTTTCTGTCTCATTTCGAAATAAGTATGGTGCGATGATGACCAAACGATGGATTTTTGGGGTTGCGAGCTGATGTAGAATATGGTAAAACGAAAGCATGCCCGACGATAGGAAGGGATAAGCCTCCTCAACATCACATATAAGGTTCTATAAAGCGTATTGTGTGAAATATTAAAGTCCCCAGTCAACAAAGTGATTGAACCTTATCAGTGTGGCTTTAGGCCTGGAAAATCAAGACCCGTGAAAAAAAGATCGACCACATCACCTCTTCGTCGAATTTAAAAATTCTTTTGACAGCATGAAAAGTAGTTGCGTTTATGTCGCTATGAATTTGGTATCTCCGCAAAACTAATACGGCTGTGTAAACTGACGTAGAGAAAAATCAAAAGCTACGTCATGATCGGGAAAACCTCTCCGAACCGTTCGATACCAAACGAGGTTTCCATATTATCTACGACTTATTCAATCTACTGCTGGATACATTTATTCAATTATATCTTGTCATCAAACAAACAGTCATAACTTCGAAGTCGTAAATAATTTCGTGTATCTTGGAAACAGTATTAACATCAACAACAAAAAATGCTACTTCGCGTTGAGTAGGCAATTGAGAAGTAAAGTCCTTTCTCGACGAATGAAGACCAAACTCTATAACTTACTCATTATTCCAGTCCTGCTGTATTGTGCAGAGGCATGGACGATGAGAACATCTGATGAGTATATGTTACGAGTTCTTGTTAGAAAGGTTCTGCGGAAGATTTATGGTCCTTTGCGCATTGGCACCGGCGAATATCGCATTCGGTAGAACGAGGAGCTGTATGAAAACACTCCTGCTCTGGAAGTACTCGATGCAGTACCCGTAGGGGGAAGTAGAGGAAGACCTCTACTTCATTGGAGAATGTCTTTCGCGTAGAGCTCTTACAGTCGGCACTCAACAATCAATTACAAACAATTCTTAAACAATTTCCAAGCATTTTACCAAAGTGAAACGTGATATTATAAAATGGCAAACCTTACTGAACACATTGACAAAATTTGACAAAAAACCGGAAACAAACATGGCCGCCACGAGCTGTCAAAATCACGTCATAACTATTGGTAGACGCTGTATGTATGAAATAATAAGTTAAGACACCAATAAAATTATGCATAGTGTTTTCTTAAACTAGAAGCCTGGTAGAAGAAAATGTCTCAAACCATTACTTTCCGACTCAGTACTTACATATTCTATATTTTATATTATCGCAAAAATATTATTTTACTAGGTATTTGCAGTATATAATCTTTTTTTTTTATTTTATAATAGTATTTTCAAATTATTTAATATTTTTTCTTGTTGTCTTGTGGTATGTATTTTGCTTTCTGATGTATGCTCTTTGCTTACTTAAATGTATTGGCGTATCACATTGCTCATTCTCTTCTCTCAATGTTCGCACTCACAAACTCACAGCCACACACAGCATCTCCAACTCATTCAATATTGAGCGAGTGAATAGCTGATACTTATTGAAGTACTATTTATGCATTATGTAACGTATTTTGCTACCTACCAACAAAGTTGCGAATACTCTAATGAACTTTCTCTCTTAAATTTTCGTTTCGTTATCGTTTCGAAAACACCTGACAGCTATAGTCGAACAATGGACTCTTTCGACATATCTAGCGACTCGGAGGAAGGATTACTTGATGAAATACTCGTCGATGGCAACTACCACCAACAACGCTTACAACAGCTGCAACGCATACAAAACTATCACCAACGTCAGCATCATTCCTATCCGCAACACTACTACGACCAGTTCACAGCATTATCACACCAACGCCAATATCACACACAAAATCATCCTTTTAGGGAGAACAAACAGCTGGACTTTGACACGATTGAATCATCACCCTTGCATTATTGTGAGAATACCACCACCCAATCCGATGACAATATCTATAGTACTCAAGAAAATCAAAAGTCAACACAACAGTCACGACAGCAAAGGCACATAGAGTCACCGTCTTCACCGCCACTGCCAGCACATTTGCCAACAATACGTTGTAGCTCCAGCAATAATTTGAATGCACCAACATTGGGTTCAAGTGCTGGTCGCTGCTCGTCGAGTAGTAGCACAAGTATTGCTTCAACAACCGCCGGTGCTGCTTCAGCTGCTACCGCTGTCGCAACGCCAGCTGCAGCCTTTATTGTGGAAGAAGATAAGGACATTGGCGAAAATACAATACAGGCAGGTCAATTGGAGCTTGAAGCCGATGACAGTACATCAAACAATGACAGCCCGGCTAGTAGTGATTCATCGGCGCACCAAGTTGACGCAAATAGTCAAAGTCATGTGAACGATGATGCAAAAGCATCGACGTCAGCAGCGGCCGCCGCAACGAATGGTGTAACCGCCGGCGGTTCATTCAACCACCAACTAACGGCTGATATGTGCAACTATAAGAATTCAAAGAGTCGTCGACTCGAGTACTCACTCAAGTGTTTGAAGTATGGACGCAGCAATCCTTCGCAAGATTCAGCTTTCGGATCGCTTACCGACAATGATCTTTCGGTTGGTTCGTCCAGTTTTCGCATAAGTAGTTTTCAGTCGATATCTTCGCCGATTGATGAGGGTGTAGAAGATATTATAATAGCAACAACAACAGGTGGCAAGGAAACTTGTTTAGAATTAGCAACCATACCGAGAAGTATGGTGTCGCAGGATTCGGCCATATCATCGCCTTGTCGGGAAACGTCGCCAAGTAACTTTTTGAACATAGATGATTGCATGTCCGGCTCATATTCGGGCGCATCCACTTCGTCCGGCTCTACAGGCAACATACGTCCACAACAATTTCCCGTCTCGCTTTCGCCTAAAATACTCGTCACTGCCACTACTAATTCTAGCAATTCGTCACTATCCTCATCTAGCGCCGCACTACCCCAAGCACAACAATTCGACCCACCCAAAATACTAGTGAACGATCAAAACTCTATTTATACAACATCACCATCGAAACGTATCGGTACGATTGAGGTCTTCTCACAAAAATATCGCGTCAGTTCGTTTGAGGATATGTCACCAAATAAGCGCTCCTCTTCCGATAAACTCTTAAAAAATGTCAATCGCATGGCATTCCGTTCACTCGAGGAGGAGCGACGTATTGATAGTGCTTTTATGCCGATTGCAGATCGCACAAACTCGGAAAATCGTGTCAACATGCAGCGCGATGAGAAATACAAGAAACTTACACACGCCTCGTTCCGCATCAGCAAGACGTCAAGCCAGGTAGTGGTCTACGACAACACCCCCAATCAAATGACGAGCACGTCACCGGTGGGCAATAAAAGCGTCATAGCCAGCGTTGAAATGCAGCGTCCCGCTACGGCATCGGGTTCGGTTAGCACGCGTCAAACAATGTGGCGCGATAGCAAGTTCTATCGGAAGAATCGCATAGCTAAGTCCAATGACTCGTTGCTGGAAACGTCGCCCAATCACTCGGCGCGCCTGTCACCATCTTCGTTGCGCGACAATCACTACGATAGCAGTTCCTCGTACGGCAGTCGCAGCCAAAGTCGACAATCACTTAACCGTGGTAGTTCCATCAATGAAATATCTGGACTGAATCAGGCATTCAGTGCTGGTGGCGGAGTTGGTGGTGCTCAAGGTTTGGCAGTGACCACCAGCTTCTGTGGCAATGCTAGTGCAAGCGGTGCTGGGCGTCGTTACTGCAGTTCGAAAAGCGAGGATCTTGGTGATACAAATGACTATTTACGTATTATGGATGCACGAAAATCATATTCGGAACGACATCTGGTCACACTAACGAAATTAAAACAAACAGCAATCAATAATACAATGAGCGGAAGTGAGCAATGCTGCTTCTCCGAGGACGAAATGAGCTTCTATGATGACAATAATGTTTACGGTTATATGTATTATAATGAAAAGCAACAACAACAACAACAACATCATCATCATGCACACCAACACGCGAAACAGCAGCATCGGCAGCAGCAACAAACTCAACAAGGGCAAGCGCGCCGCACACACTACAATGCACATCAGTCGACAAAACAAGCAAAAACACAACAACAACAACAAATGCAACACAATCACCAGCAACAGCAGAAATATCAGCAGCAGCAGCAGCAGCAGCAGCAACAACAAAAACAGTCTAAACGTGCCAACCCAAATCAACATAGCTGGAGCAGCTGCTCCATCAATCGCCTACGCACCACCAATATAAAGACCACCTCCTTGGCTACACTATCCTGCCATCAAAATTTTAGCTCCACCGCTACAGCACAATCCCCCTCGCCCAACGCGTCCAACACCACTGCTGCCGGCACGATAGACGCATTGCCACACGTCTCGCGCAGCGCTATTTTCAAGTCGGTTGATCACTTTGTCAACCTAACAGATAAGAGCGGCGGCAACAGTGGTGCTACCGGCCGCGGCGACAGTGGCAGTGGCAGTGGCACGGGCACTGCCACCGACGACAACAGTTCCCCCGACGATTCGCCAACACACCAGTCGCTGAGTGGCGCCGAGCTCTCAAAGATTTTCGCTATGCACGACGCCCAAAGCAGCCAGTGCAGTGAGGAGAAGACACCGCTGCTAGACAGCGTTGAGATGTCGCCAATCAGTCCAACCGAGACGGAGGATTCGACCAACGGCGAAAAAATGTGATATACTAAATTTCAGTAAAGACATACACACATACACCCAAGCAAATAACTCACGTATAACTAAAATAAATAAATAAAATATATAAAAGTAAACGCAAGCGAAATTTGCATAGAAAACGGTAGCGAGGCTTTTCGTGTATTACAAAAGTGAATGCATGAAAGTTGCAAGGCTTGTTGAACTTTTTTTTTTAAATAGTGAAATTATGCAATGTTTCCTTTCATGAAAAATATATTATTTTTTTAAAATTTTTTTAATTACACACATTTTATAAAATAAAAATTTAAGTAATATTTCTTTGCGATACTGTATGGTACACACTAGGGTGTGTAACAAAAACCCAATATTTTTTTTCGCTTGGTTCTCAGAAAAGTAGATTCTTACGACGCCTCTAAGAAAGTCTCTCGAAGTATAAGCTCGGAAATTGAAGGCTTTACAAACAAGTCTCTCCAAATATATGCTCTTATTTCTACTGGGAAGGTCCTCCGTCTTTCAGTTTTCTAATTTTTTTTATTAGGAGATGGAAAAGTCAAATATCGGGCCCAACTACCTGAAAAATTTATATCTCATTTCATAGATTTTATAGGAAATTTAATGCTCTACAAAATAGGTCCAATGCGATTTCTTCATAAACCTAAACGTTTAAAAGATATTAACGGTTAAATTTTGATTATTTTAAATCAAATCATTTTTTTCTTTTGAATTTTATAATAGAGAAAAGAAAAATTATTTTAAATTGCAAGGCTAATAGTCTTATGGGAAATTTATTGCGCAATAAAAATTTTCTCTTAATTTTTTGGAATTCTTTTTTAAACTTATTTTTTTATTTTTTTTTTATTATTATATTACATATTTATTTTTTTGTTAATGTTTTTTATTTATTAATTTCTGAATTTTATGACGGAAAGGAAAAAATTATTTTAAATTGCAAAACTAACAGTCTTATCGGATATATATCTGTCTCTTATACACATCTACCCCACATATCTCTTAACACTTCAGTCGCAAATTTTTGTTCAGATTTGTTGAGTGGCGATATTTAATTTTTTTTTTGTTAATTTATTTTTTTTTCATTGATTTTTGACGATGACAATTTTTTTAACTTTTTTTATTATTTTTTTTTTTCCTTCGATTTTTGATGATAGATATTCGTAAAAGCTAACTTTAATCGAAAAATTGTAAACTAATGTATTTTTCAGAGTACATACCAAGCGTAAAATAATTCTTTTTTTGACACACCCTAATACACACCTTTACAAACTTAGGTACGATTTAAACATGTTGCGAGCAAGAAAAGCTGGACTTACTTGTAAAATGGAAACAAATTTTATTTTATTGTATAACGGCATAAGAAATACACATACATACAAATATATATTGCAAATCTCATTCAACTATCTGCATTACAACAGCAACTACCATCCTTATGATAATTTTAAGAATTAAATGGCAGAGTTACACTATATATATTTATATATATATATATATATATACTTATATATATATATGAATTTAAGTAATTCATATTTCGTATGATAAGACGTTACACAATTTTAAAACAAATAAAAACTTAAAATAATAGAAAATGATTTAAAAAATCTTTAAAAAAATATTATACCACATAGGAGTATACAATATGACGTAATGTTTAGGGAAAACGTTATTTGCTTGAAATTTCTGACAAACCTAATTACTTAAGTTAGTGAAAAGTAATATATATACACCTATACATATGTACAAATGTATGTATATACGAATATGCGAACTTTTAACTTAATGAAAATATTAACTTTGCGCTGAAAGCAAAACTTTTTGTGTCATTTTGACATCACCGAAATTACTAGCAACGTTAAAAATTCCCCCAAAAAAAATATAAAACAAAAATTATAGATAATATTTGTTCTACTAGTTGAAGTTAGTGAACATTTGACTCATATACTAAACGGCAAGCGCATTGCGCTTTCGAAAAAAAAAAATTATGTAAATGCATTGTGGATTCTTTCTCAATTTCTCAGCATTTTTTCGGATAGCATAGACGAGGCCGCAATTAGTGTTGAATTTAGTTCTTATACTTCTAAGGCAATTATAGGCGCACTTAGCGGTAGATACAGACTTCGCAAAATCTCAACTTTATGGTAGTAAATTAGCTTTAAAATGCATATACATATGTATGTATGCATATGCTCTCAGCTCATTTAACTGAAAATCCCAAAAAAACATCATAATAAGGTATCAACAATTTTTATTTCAAGTTGTATAAACGAAAAAGTGGCGTACTTGAAGCGTTGAGTTATAGCGTAGGTCATAGTTCGAACAAACGGAACGAAAGTTAGTAGAATGTTATATTAGGGCCATATTTATATATGAAAAGATAGAAAAAATTAACATTTTATATATTAATGTGTCATTCACAGATATAATAGTGGCAAAGTGGCGAAATGGCTACTCAAATGCGGGCACTGTGGCAATATTGCAATAAGTCAGCTCTTCTTTATTTATCACCCATCGTTTTTTCTATAAATATTTAATCAATTCATTTTAAAACAAGCAAATAAAATAATTATACATTTAAATGTGCTTACATTTTCCATTTTGTGCCGAAATAAACAAAACGTGAGAAAAGAGTAAAGAGCTGATTGTGATTTACGTCAAATTCCCAGGCATACCACTGAACATATGACATTAAAGAAGTACCACTATTATTTTAAAGACTAAATTAAGAAAAAAAAAACTTTAGCACTTAATGCTTTACGTATTCTTTATTTAAGTACATATTTTGCAATAGAAATATGCAATATTTTGAAGTTCGACAAAAGAAAATCAGAAAAATACTTGCAGTATATAAAAGAGGATAGTTTGAATAATAGTACCAAAAACCAGAAAAATATTACGATTGAAAAACAGTGCAGCAAAAAAGTGAAAATTAATAAACTCATAGCTATTCAAGAAAATTACTCAACAAAACGAACTTGTTACCTTAACGATGTAAGCAATCAAACAGTAACATAATCGATAGCACTAACTAATAAAACAAAAATTAATAAAACAAAAAATTTTCAGTGTTAATAACAAGAAACTGCATGCGAATGAAAAAAAAAATCACAATAAACATATTTAGCCAAATTACAAGTTCATAATAGGAATGCACCTCACAAAACTTAGTTAAAAGTGAGTTCTCAAGTAAGGAATATAAAAAATATATACAGTATATAATTCCATATTACTAGTTTGCGCTTCAAAAACGGTTATGACTAATGTAATTAACACTCAGTTTCATGTACATAATTTTTTTTTAATTTTTTCCAGTTTTAAATTAATTGAAATTATAATAATTAATGTTACAGAATATGTAAATTATATACAATACATACGAGTATTATAATATGTATAGTTGAAATGCATACCCTTGGCACATGATCACGCCCGTTAGTGTATTGATTAGCTTTAGAACATACATATACATATATATATTTTCTCGAAACGAAAGTTATTCAATTAGGTCCGCGTAAATCGGTGATATTGTTAAGTATGTAATTTTATTTTTATTTTCCACTGAACTACGTAAATAAATTAAATAAAAAACAAAAATAAGACTTAATATATTGTTGCTTATTGTTGTAACAGCATTTCACTGATAAGCTAATTGGTAAGTATAATTATGAGTTTTTGTGGCTTAAGTTGTGGGCAGTTGAGCTTCACGCCACTTTTTGTTGGCTGCTCTTTTAATTATCATATTTAAGATTAATAAACGAGTGCTTTTCGTTACTTCCGCTTTGCTATAACTATTATAAGCGTTCACTTTAACTTTTAAGCGCAGTCAGGATTAAGAACTCAGTGCATTCAAAAGCAATATGTCGTTGAGAACGGTCACAGCTGTGCCATCTTTATTGCAACAGCAAAGGTTTTTTACTTAAACAATTTATACTCGAAATTACCAAGATCTTTCTGCAGCAGGTATTTTTTGCAAAATACTTTTGGTTATCTTCGATACGCACAAACTTCTTCGAATACAACTTACACTTCAACACCGACTGCAAGTACAGCAAAGAAAAACGAAGAATTTCAACAATTTAACGACAGCACACAAAAAGAAATTGATCACCACGCGCGGTTATCAGCGACTTGGTGGGATTTAAATGGTCCATTACATGGTTTACACAAGCTGAACGATTTAAGGTGCGCAAATATATGTATTTTTAATAAGATTAAATAATATTTTTCACTTCACTTTATACGTGCAAATGTATACACAGAGTTCCTTTCGTGATCCACGGTTTGGTGGCTCAAAGTATCGTCGACAAGAACTTCAGAAATACCGCCGCCACGAATTTGAGAAATGCAGGTAAAGTGCTGCAAAATAAAAAAATTTTGGAAGTAGGTTGCGGTGGCGGCATATTAACGGAAGCGTTAGCACGTCTAAATGCTAATGTAACTGGCGTTGACTTGGGCGCAGACGTAATCATGACAGCCGAGAAACATTTAAATGAACATAGTCCCGAACTAGTCGAGCGTATAACTTATAAAACCGAGTCAATAGCGGAACATGCAAATGACCATGCAAATCATTATGATGCAATTGTATGCTCAGAGGTATTGGAACATATTGACGAGAAAGAAGCGTTCTTAAAAGATTGCGTTAGGGCTATAAAGGTATAATTTTAAAAAATCATATTTTTTATATGAAGCGTGTTTTAAAATCAATAAACTCGCGTGTTTACGAAACATCAGCCTGGCGGTTCAATATTTATTACGACCTTGAATAAGACCGTTCTGCAGTGGTTCATAGGAATTATTCTCGGAGAATATGTATTTGGTGTTGCACCGAAAAACACACATCACTGGAGTAAACTGATAGCACCACAAGATGTGCAACGCATTCTGACTGCATGTAAGCATAACATTACTTATTAATATATGTATATACATATCTATACATACATACTTACCTTTTTTAATGTATCCATTCGTCATAGTGAATTGTGAGACGGTATCGCTGAATGGCCTCACTTACAATGTTTTTTATAGGCGTTGGCGGTGGATTAATACTACCAAACTATGCTATGCGCTCCACGCTATTAAAGCTGCATAAATAATTTCAATTCAATTTATGTAATATTTTTATAAAACCATAAACTATTCATATCTATTACTCAATATTTTAAAACCATATGCACATAACGAACAAATATAACATAATAATAAAACAAATCACCAATTTTGAAGCGTTTTTTTCACTTTGTCATTGCCATTTATTAAAAAGATGTAGAAAGTTCTATTTTTCGTAGTTTTGCTAGATTTGAATTGTCATTTGAGCATGACGTTCTACATCAACCGGAAATGCGCTAATAACAAAACAAAGACAGGCAACACAATATATTTAAAAAAAAAATTCAGGCAGCGTATTTACACATATATATCAAGAAATAAATTAAAATTGAAACTAATTATAAATAATATATAAAACACGTTAAAAATGAAACGTAAAAAAATTCCAAATATATAATTTAATGGAATTAATCGAAGTACTGAGCGGTTTAGCATACTCGCTTATTGTGCTGCAAAAATTATAATCAGTTGGCAGCATTATTTACTGTCATTTCCATATGAGCTTTATTTATTTATTTAGAAATTATTTAAGTGAATTGAATGTAAAAACTTGTTTTAGTTGTTTTGAAGTATAGTATTTGAGTTTATTTTAACTAAGTGGTTAAAGACGTCAAAATGTTGTCCCCTTTAATAAAAATTCAAAGGTTTTAACCCTCTACAGTCATATTTCGAAAAAATAATGAGATTTTTGCAGGCATCTATTGGTTGGTACTCCTCATCACCGGTATGCACAAATATCTGCCAATAAGATTAACAATTCCTTAGTTAATGGCCAAACACAGAGAACGCACACCCATACCGTCAGCACACAAAAAGAAATTGATCATCATGCCAAATTATCAGCAAACTGGTGGGATTTAAATGGGCCGATGCAAAGCTTGCATAAGCTAAACGAACTAAGGTAACCAATTATATTCTAAGTTGCATTGTGTTAATTAATTAAGCTTAACTTAAATATTGTATATAGAGTGCCTTTTATACGAGATGGTATCACATCACGCGGTAACGTAGATCCAAAATTAATTAATACAACAAAAGTCTTAAAGGATCAAGCTATATTAGAAGTAGGTTGTGGGGGCGGTATATTAACTGAGGCATTAGCACGCCTTAATGCAAATGTAACGGGTGTTGACTTGGGCGAAGACGTAATAATAACTGCAAGAGAACATTTGGAGATACATAGTCCAGATTTGAAGAATAATGTAACTTACAAAATTGAACCCATTGAGGTGCATGCGAAAACCAAGTTAAACCATTACGATGCTGTTGTGTGCTCAGAAGTGTTGGAACACATTGACGATAAAGCAGGTTTCCTAACACATTGTGTTAACACCTTGAAGGTAGGAAGATCATCATACACAGATGCTTTGAAAAATTATATTTCATATATTTTTAGCCAGGAGGATCAATATTCATTACTACCATGAACAAAACTATTCCACTATGGATAGGAGGAATTTTGCTGGCTGAAAATGTATTTGGTATCGCACCGAAAAATACTCATCACTGGAACAAATTAGCATCACCGCTAGATGTGCAACGTATTCTATCTGCATGTAAGTTTTTTTTTCAATTAAAGCGTTTTATTTTATTAAAGTTTTTTGCGCGCATTGATTTCAGTGGGTTGTCAAACTGTATTGACAAATGGCTTCACATACAACGTTTGTCGTAGACGCTGGAAGTGGATTAATTCTAACGTAATGTGCTATGCACTACAAGCTATTAAGATTGAATAAATTAGTAGTAAATTTGTAGTACTTGTTATTTTTATGATGCCTCCACTATAAGGTTAAAAAAATGAAATATAAAATATATATGTACTGTTAAGAAATTATGTATTACTTCTTAATTTCAAATGTTGTCATGACCTTTCTCAATGATAGCAGGTGTCAACTAAAAAACACCGTTTGAAAAATTATAAATGTTTAATATTATTTAATGTTTAGAGTTCTTTTTATACATGTTACGAGCTTCCACATGCGTATGCATATCAATTTAGAATTGTGTAAATAGTTTTCCGTTTATTGTTATCTTAAACATCGTCTTCTTGAGGTTTGTGGAACCTCGCTTTTTTATTCTGCCATTTGGTTTTCTCAACGTTGTTGCGTTTTGCTTTGAATTGAGCCTTTGTTTGGAATTTCTTTTGCATTGTCACCTGCTGTGCATTATAAAAGGAGGCCATATCCTTGTCAGACACCTCAGTAGGTTGCTCATGTCGTGTATTGGCTACTTTCTCCGCTTGTTCCAACTCTAAAAGACGTTCAATTTCCGGATTCATGCCTCGAAAACTAAGTCGCCCCTCAATAAGATTTTCGCAATGTACAAAACTCGGCTCCATTATATAGTTTGAATTGCTATTCAACATTTTTTGGGTAATTTCTTGAGAATACATTTCGCGGCCTTCAGCTTCTTCGATCTCTTTATCCACTTTCGCTTTGGTGCGTTGCATGAACTTCATCTCCAAAATACCCTTGGAAAGGCGTGGACGTACTTTTTTTGCGGACATTATGATTAAAATAATAGTTGGAAAATATATAAATTAATACGTTCTTTGAAACACGCTTACGAAGATCACGAGAAAAACATAAAATTGATGAAATATGCGAAGAAGGAATAACAGAGAACGTATATATATAAATATATATATATAAATATACGTTCTGTGTTGATAAGCTGTGTTTCCCGATAGATGGCTCATTGTAGCTAAAGATGCTGCCATGCGTCTATTTACAATTATTAAAGCAATTGTATGGGCAGTACAAAATCAAAAGATTATTTTGCTTTTGTATTGCGTTTACACAATGCAACCACCGAGCAACTTATGTTACTTTATTAAATATCTTAGGCGATACATAAACCAAATAAATAAATTACGCTATTGTGATCTTTTGAGAACTTCAATGACATGACCAAGAAGAAGAAGTCGAAATGGCGGCAGTGTTGAAAGTTTAGTTATTCTATTTATCATAAATATTCGCGCTATATATTAGAACATTTTGTCGAAAGATCCTTAGCATAAAAGAAATTAATTATTATAAAGCTTTGTTACGATTTGCAAGAAGTCAAACTTTAGTAAAGGAGTTCGCAACGTAGATGTGAACATTGTGAAAGATACGATGATGAGCAAACGAATGGTGGTGAACGATTCCGCGCCCACCCCAACAAGGCAAGAACAACAGCAGCGCGCGGTTGGTTCTCTTGTGGCACTTACCCAAAAATTCGTCCAATTGATGAAATGGAATAATGGACGGATAGATCTCAGAGAGGTAATTTCGTAGAAGTGCGCTTTGAGAAATTTATGTTTGCGTTTTAAGAAGTAGGGTAGTCCATGCCCAATTTATTTGGCGCTTTCACAATAATTTCTATACAATTCAAGTTTAGAGTTGTTTAGTTCCTTTAGGATACTACCTTAATGGATATATAATTGCTCAAATGCAATATTCTTAAATCTATGAGCATATCATTTAATCTAAGAGCATATATAATGTATATAATACATGTTAACATTGAACTGGGATATATATGTCTGTACATATATAGTTTGATTATTTCTAGGCAACTGAACTGTTGGATGTCCAGAAGCGCAGAATTTATGACATAACAAATGTTTTAGAAGGAGTTGGATTGATTGAGAAGACAAGACACTGTAGCACAGTACGATGGCGGTAATACTTTTCAAATTATTATTACATATTTTCTTTGATATATATGTATAAATTTTGTAGTGGCGCACTGAATGGTAGTACGGGGCACCAAAGTTTAAGAGCAGCGCATGCGCGAGCCAAGCATTTAAAAGCGCTTGAAGCCGATGTAGATCTCCAATTAGAATATGCTCGGCGTAATTTAAAATACATAAAACAAGATGAAGTAAACAAATCTTACGCATATGTAACTCGTGATGACTTGCTTTCGATTTATGGAGAAAATGTTGTACTGGTAATACCTAATCATGACGATGAGGTGAAAATAGAACCTTCACATGTAAGAATAAATATTTTTATAACTTAAACTGAAAAATATAAGTATATATTAAATATGATGCAGAACTCCTTATACGTGTCGCTGGATAATGGAGGAAAAGTAGATGTGCGGCTGGTTACGCAACAAGGTACTTGCACAGCACCTAAATTAGAAACTACTCCGCTAGTTACCCGCTTAGAAACACCATCACCATCTTCATCTAATTGTTCAGAATCAAGTACTTCAAATAAAGCAACTCTAGTCACTGATGAGCATACGTACTTCTGTAATCTCGAACATAAGAAAGAACAAGATGAATTAGAAAATCAACTTGCTGCTCGAATAATTTTTAAAAACTCTTCAGCACAACACTCACTGCGTAGATTTTTCCCAGATGATCCCAATTTAGGTAAATATATTCGTTTACTCAATAATGTACAATAACTATTTTGATAATTTCAGAAAATGCTCCACTAATTCAATTAAATCCTCCCCATGAAGATTACAATTTTGTATTAACAAAAGACGAGGGTGTATGTGAACTCTTCGATATACAGTGCAATACATATTGAGATTACGCCTTAAATTCCTTCTAAAAACTTTTGATCTTTAACTAGTTCTTGTATGATAAATTTGTAGACATATGAAAGCCCACATCTGTTGCGAAACAGTTTATCGAGGGTTATATAGTATAATTTATGTAAAATAAAGGTCGGCACTTTAAACTGCAATGGACGAGATGTAAAAGCAAATAATAAATTTACAATTTTAGTTAATATCAATGTAATTAATACCCTAGCGAAAATTATATTGTATACAAATATTTAAGAAAATTAAAGACTTTCACAAAATTAAAGAAAAAAAACTTGACTTACGTTACATCTTTGAAACTTTAAACTTGAGGGCCAAATTACTTTAAAACTGTTTTGTAAATAATTATAAAACCATACCAATATCTACTTTTTGTGACCATAGAAAACAAATCGAAAAAGGTTCTCACTAAATGAAAGAATCTATGTTAAGTAAAACATATAAATATAAAGTATATGCTTAAAGTATTTATTTTCAAAATTATGAGCTACAACTATCCTACAAAAAATGTACACACTTAACTATGATGATCTTTACGAAGATTACTTCCTTTTAGCCTTTTTCCAATTTTTCTTGCCGCCAGGGCCGCCTTGAGGTTTCATGCGCTTCCGAGCACCAGAAAAATTTTCGGAATCATCATAATCATCCCCCGCTTTCTTAAATTTTCCTTTTTTACTACCCTTATTATCCTCCAAGTCTTTAAGCTCTAACTTCGCAGTGCGTTGGGCTTCGCTCACTCTTTCCTGCAGTGCCATAACTTCATCCTCTTCGCATGGATATAATGGTAACTGTTTGCCAAGTAGATGTTCGATTCGTTGATATAATTCCACATCGTATTGGGTAACAAAAGTAACAGCTTTGCCAGACCGACCCGCACGAGCCGTACGACCTACACGGTGAATATAATCTTTACTATGCGTTGGTATGTCAAAGTTTAACACTACATCAACGTGAGGTATATCCAGACCACGTGATGCTACGTCTGTAGAAATGAGTATTGAGCGATTTTTCGCTTTAAACTTGTTTAATGCGGCTAAACGTTTATTCTGAGACATTTGACCGTGTAGAGGTATGGCCGCTAAACCCAAAGCACGCAGCATTAATGCTGTGCGGACAGTATTTGCACAGGTGCTACAAAATATCATAAAGCTATTTCCAGCCAACTCATTGATTATGTGTACCAAATAAACATCTTTATATTTAACGGGAATAAAGACGTAGTATTGTTGGAGTTGCTCAACCGTTTGATATTTGTTAGAAACTTCCACCTTTACAGGATCTTTCAACGAAGCACGTTGCAATTTCTTTACTTTTTTTGTCATAGTTGCACTGAATAAAAACGTTCGACGTTCCCGTGGTAAGACTTTCAATATTTTATCCAGTTCCACCTCAAAATCCATGTTTAAAATGCGATCTGCTTCATCCATTACCAAATACTTTATAGCTTTAAGATTGAAACCTTTCATGTTTTCAAGATGATCAACTAAACGGCCGGGAGTAGCAATAATTATGTGGGGTTTCTTAGCTAGCTGTAGCGCTTGAGAAACCATATCCATGCCACCAACAACAACGCAACATTTCACGCCTATCGAACTACCTGAAAAATAAGTATTATTCAGTAAATCACATAAAACATATTATAAATACATAAAATAAGCGAATACTCAGAGGTAGTGACGAAACTAAAATAAATGATTTCATGTATAAAAAAATCAAAATAAATTTTTACATCATTGTATACTTAAATAATACTGTAGGACAGCGGGTGGGAAAACAAATATCCATACACCTAATCCTACTCTGCATTTTTTTTTTAACTCACCTAGAGCTTCAAACTGTTCCGATATCTGAAAAGCCAATTCACGTGTGGGGGTAAGGATCAGTGCGAAATATCTCTGGGGATTCTCCAGCAATGCATGCAATATTGGTAAAGCAAAAGCACCTGTCTTGCCGGAACCTGTTTCGGCCAAACCGATAATGTCTTTTCCTTGCAATGCAACAGGTATAGCCTCCTTTTGTATCTTAGATGGAGCTTTCCATTTCAATTCTTCACATGCCTGGCATAACGCGTCAGTTAAACCCTAAAACAGAATACCATATTTCATTAATATTTTGGATAATAATAGCATTATTGATTACCTACGAGGTCTTTCCATGTGACAGAACTTTCGACATTATCTGCTACGATATCATTTTCTGTGCTTTCAGTATCTTCTTCATCGTTTTCTCCTGCTTCATCCCCGGAATTTTCCTTGTCGATTTCTTGCTCTTCATCAGTGGCATTCGAAGAATTTTCGTCCTCTTCTGAAGTACCCATTTTTTTTTATTTTTTATTAATAAAATAAGTGAATGGCGCAGAAATTTCAAAAATTTACCAGAGAATTACTTTTTTAAATGCACACTGCAACAACCAAATTAAAAGTGAACGAAATACCACGCTGCCAAACGTAACCTCAATTCAAGTTAGGGATGTATTTTATTGCACTAAATCTTTTTTGAACCTTATCATTTGCCTAGACATGCGAGAAATAGAACTAGTGTAATAAATACAGATTTATTCACTTTATACAAATTATAGCAACAAAAAGGAGTTGATTATGAGGGAAGTGTCATATTACGAACTTAAAGAATATGGTGTCATTGCAATTTGCATTCTAAATTAATTCCCTCTCAATATTTGTATTTTAATACTAAATCTTATCGATCATTAATTTGACGATAGCTAGAAACGATTTATAAGACTGGCATCACCGTTCCAATTCGATTTATTGATTCTGTGTGACGTTTATTGCCTTCGTGAAAAAGTTAAGTGTCGCGAAAAAGTTTGGGAGAAATAAAATTTTCTGTGTAATTTAAGAGGGATAAAAAGTAATAATTGTGTGAAAATTGCTACAAAACAATTAATAAATACTTTTAGAATTTATGTGTTAACAATGGCTTTCTTTTAAATGGGCTATTGCAATATAACTTTTCATACATGTAATAATCAGGCAATATTTAATCGCAGCTAAATGGTGCCGTAAATAGTATTTATATTAAAAAACAAATATGATTTTCGTAAAGAAAATGCTTAATTGATTTTTTCACATTTTAGATTTTACACCTCCCCTCTGCATTCACAATAATATTAGCCTCACACAATTCGGTGTACACAATAAACGAGGGGGCAGGCAATAGGGGAAATAGCTGATAAGGCCAAGACACTAAGAGGGGCGTTAAGGAATACATACGATAACAGAATAACAATAAAAAGCTGAGCTCTATTTGTAAAGTGTAAAAATTTAATACCTACAAACACAATTTGGAAGGAAACTTTAATATTCTGGGACGACTGAAGTCATAAATTACCATTCTTGTGGCTGCACATTTGAAATAATACCTATTTTAAAAACATTTCTTCGCTCATTGATTGGACTTCGGCGATAGTAGAATAATTACTTGTGAGTAAACGTTTGCATTGTTTTTGCAATGAACGCTGCAGTTGATCCATGGGTAATAACCCAAAGAGAAAAGCTCAAGTATCAGGAGCAATTCAAGGCACTACAACCGCAAGGAGGCTTTGTTACTGGCGCACAAGCGAAAGGCTTCTTTTTACAATCACAATTGCCTCCGCTTATCCTTGGACAAATATGGTGAGTCAGCATTGAAATATAATTCGTATTAACATACGTGAACGGGTTTACTCATACATACAAATTGTCAAACCCAGCAATGTGTTGATTATGAAAGTGTTATTATTGTACGACTATTTATATTTTTTTAAATTTTACGATTAATATTTTAGGGCTCTCGCCGACACAGATTCCGATGGAAAAATGAATATCAATGAGTTTAGTATTGCATGCAAATTAATTAATTTGAAGCTACGTGGAATGGATATACCGAAAGTTTTACCACCCACATTACTTGCTTCATTATCCACAGTGGGAAGTACGCCAACAATGACGCCCACCGCGACCGCAAGTATGAGTCCTCTAGATCCGTTGAAATCAATGTCGGCAAGTGTACCTGTAGTAGCACCCACTGTACCGATATCAGGAGCAACATTGCCTGGCGCTGTACCCGCTGTACCTGGTATTGTTCCGGGTACATTACCAGGTGTGTTACCACAAACTATACCATCTGCAATGACTACCGGTGTTGTCCCCGGTATTCCACCAACAGGATTATCAATGCAGATGCCAATTAATGCTGCCGGCTCGGCCGCAATGGTTCTACCTGGTAATGCAATACCAGCTGGAGTGATGCCAGTCAGTGCTTCGGTTCTACCAGGTGTTAGCACGGCTGGAATAATGTCAGCAGGCATTGTTCCTCCAGTGGCAGGTGGAGTTCCAGTTCCTGGAATGGTTCCAATATCAGTAGCGGCAAGCGGTGGTGTGGTTCAACCAGCTATGGTACCTGTGTTACCACCTGGAAAAATTGTTTCACCACCCAACAGTAGTGAGGTACCCAAATTGCCAGCCACACCAACTCCACCACAAAGCAACCCACCCAGTCGACATATGTCAATATCAGAGCGTGCGCCTTCTATCGAATCACCGTAAGTATTACTTCATTTGTATATTTTTAATTTATTGTTTAATAGTTAAGGGAAATTAATTTTGTTTCAATCACAGGCAAAGTGAGTGGGCCATCAAGGGTCCAGCTAAGCGTAAGTACACACAAGTCTTCAACGCAACTGATCGTACGCGTTCCGGCTATTTGACCGGCGCACAGGCCCGCAGTATACTCGTACAAAGCAAATTGCCACAAGCTACACTCGCGCAGATTTGGACACTCTCCGACTTGGACTCCGATGGTAGACTAAGTTGTGACGAATTCATTTTGGCTATGTTCCTTTGTGATAAAGCCATGAATGGGGAAAAAGTACCCGTTACATTGCCACTGGATTGGATTCCGCCCAGTTTTCGGAAAACCAAATCACGTCAAGGCTCCATTTCAGGACCAGGTTCACGCGCTGGATCCACAACAGCATCTCGTCATGCATCAGTGTCATCTCAAGGAGCCGTTGATGCAGATCCGGCTGCAGGCTTACCTCAAAGTAAACTATTAAAAATCGCTATAAAAGCTGCATTCTAATACATTTATTAATTTATTATCCTTGCAGCAACGTTTGAAGACAAACGCAAGGAGAACTTTGACAAAGGCCAAGCAGAATTGGATCGAAGACGTAAATTACTACAGGATCAGCAGCGTAAAGAGAAGGAAGAGCGCGAGCGCAAGGAACGCGAGGAGGCGGAAAAACGTGAAAAAGCACGCCTGGAAGCCGAGCGGAAGCAACAAGAGGAATTAGAACGACAATTGCAAAAGCAACGCGAATTAGAAATGGAAAAGGAAGAACAACGAAAACGCGAACTTGAAGCCAAAGAAGCGGCCAGAAAGTGAACATTATACATATATAAGCCACTTTGAAGAGAAACTCAAATATTCTTTTTTTTTAGGGAGTTAGAAAAGCAAAGACAAATGGAATGGGAACAGTCACGCATAGCAGAGATGAACGCTCAAAAGCAACGTGAACAAGAACGTGTTTTGAAACAGAAAGCGCACAATACACAACTCAATGTTGAGCTAAGCACACTAAATGAGAAGGTAAACGCACACTATTGGCACTTAAATATGCAAAATCTATAAATTTCTATTATATTTAGATTAAAGATTTGTCTCAGAAGATTTGCGACACACGCGCAGGTGTGACCAACGTCAAAACCATAATCGATGGCATGCGCTCTCAGCGAGACACCTCAATGACCGATATGTCGCAACTGAAAGCGCGCATAAAAGAACAAAACGCAAAGTTGCTACAGCTTACACAGGAGCGCGCTAAATGGGATGCAAAGAGTAAGAGTATAGCTTTGATTGGAGCAACCGACACAGCACAACAAGAGCAATTAAATGCTGCTTTTGCCAACAAACAGGTAACTACACTGGACTACATTACATAATTTCTGTTAAAAATTGCACAATACTTTTGTACTTGCAGCTACTCATCAAGCAATTGAAAGACAAAGTGGAGAATATACGCAAAGAAATTGAGTCCAAAAAGGAAGACATCAATTCTAACGATATACAAGTGGCTGAGGTGAAAGGCGAGCTATCGACATTAATTTCTAAATGCGAAGAATTATATGCTGATTACGACACGCAACGCACGCAAGTGCTTGAATTAAAGTATAACAAGAAGAATGATAATGTTACGGCTACAACCGCCTGGGACACGGGATCAACTGCTTGGGGTACCAGCGTCGATCAGTATGCACTTACAAATGACACTGCTGCCACAGAGACAACTACAAATGCGGACGCACCGGTAGATACCACAGGGCCCGCGCCTGAAGGTTTTGTGAAATATCGCGCGATTTATGAGTTTACCGCACGCAATCAGGATGAAATTACTTTCGTGCCAGGCGATATAATACTAGTGCCGTTGGAACAAAATGCCGAACCCGGCTGGTTGGCTGGTGAGATAAACGGACACACTGGTTGGTTCCCAGAGACGTACGTGGAAAAATTAGAAGATGAATATGCAACTGCCACAACGACTCCAGCTATTACAGCCGAAACCGACACAAGCGAACAGATTAGTGGTTTTGCAGCACAAGACGCCTTCAACGACAACAGCCAAAGGTAAAAAAAAATTTATTTTAAATTTGATTTTACTCCTTTTTTAAATTTTTGCTTTTCTTTTTTTATTTTT